TGAGCTGGAATTTGACCCCCTAAACATGCTCAAAAACTCACCAAAATTGGCACGCACATCAGAACCGGTGAAAAATTTTAGAAAATCATGACATTAACCCCTAAAGTGCCAAAATGGGCTCTCTAGCGCCACCTAGGCACACAAAAATGGCCGCCACGGCCTGTAGGAACGTCGTAGAAACATGAAACCAAAAGTGGCGTGTTCGTCTCATGAAGACCTAAAAATCACGCGCTGACACCCCTGACCTAAATCCAACAGGAAGTGAGATATTTGCCCTTTCAAAGTAAGATTTTGCCTTAAAACTGCCTTTCCTAAAAAATCTTCTTCTCATACACCGCTTATCCAATCGGCTTCAAACTTGCACAGATGACAGATCAACTCGTTCTAATCAAAAGTTATTCGTAACTTTTTCATTACTCGCTTAGTTTGGATTTTATGGGCTCCATAAGGTGAGATGTCAGAAAAACGTCCTGGCGATCTTCGAAAGCTGTCCCATAGGAAATGAATGGCAGCAGGGGGGAGAAAGACACCAATCTTAGGGCTTTTTCTAGCATTTACAGCGTCTCCATACTTTGTGCTACAGACTCCATTCCAACTCTCAAATGTTGCCACAGGTCTCATCTATTCACTCATGTTTTCATCTTTTTCATATCTTTTACCGTTTTTCATCTGTGCCTCTCAAAGTACCATGAGCAAAAGTGGAGAAATTCTCAGTTTACAATGGGTGTGTATTGCACGGAATGCTGTGAGCTAGAGTGGAGAGGGCTCTAAAAATCGTCTAAAACTTTTGTCTTTAACTCGCTGCCATGGCCACAATTTTCACTGTACAGACACAATTTATACCACAAAACGTAGGAAAATTTGTCCTGCTCACAGATATGTTGACATGGAATCTCTCACACGTACACATTTTTGCTGAGTGGCTCCAAAGCGAAGGGAGCGCTGATTTTTTTCTCATTCACTCCCATGTAAACTCTGAGGAGAAATTTCTGGAAACAGCTGGGGTGCAACACATTTTAAACTCGCTCCCCTGACCACATTTTTGACTCGAGAAATATAAAACGCGACACGTGCGTTCACGAGACGTGGCTGTCTCTCAAAATCACTTTATTTTCTTGCTTGGACCAACGGTTTGGGTATACGAAGCATTTGTTCGAGGAGTTAAAACCCATTATAAACAGCCTTTGGTGATCTGCTCTCCTGAGGTGTCTGTGTCTGCCTCAGGTGCAGGCAAGTCATTAATCGCCATGACAACGGCTGCACACACAGACACAGCCACAGGGCTCTCTGGTCTGTGTGTCTCACAATCTTTAAAGGACAGATTACAGCAGCAGAATCTTCATTTCAAACAGCAAATACACATTATTAACCCCTAAAGTGCCAAAATGGGCTCTCTAGCGCCACATAGGTGCACTAAACTGGCCACTGCAGCCCGTCGGAATGTCGTATCAAGATCAAACCAAAACTGGTGTGTTTGACTTACAAATCACGCATTGACACCCATGATCTAATTCCAACAGGAAGTGAGCTACTTGTCCTTTCAAAGTAAGATTTACCCTCAAACGTGCTCTTAAAAAAAACACATCTCCTCCTACACCATTTATTTTATCGGCTTTAAAGACGCACACATGCCAGCTCAACTGCTGCTAAACAGATCTTCTGTATAACTTTATCTCTCTCACCATCACATTATTTTGATGATTGGACCAACAATTTGGGAATGGGAACAATTTCTTCGAGGAGTTAAATCTCCACTAAAACAGGTCTCTTCTCTGTGTTCTGTCTGTCTGTCTCTGCTCTTCTGCCAGGTGCACCTACTTCATTACCATGGCAACCGCTGTCACACACAAACTCACATCTTACATGCAGACATGACAGGGGCACAATCTCCATTTTAACCCTTTAGTTGCCAGAGGTATTTGAGGAAAATATTCCATTTTCATTTCAACATTTCAAAAGACTGTGGCTTGAAAGTGGTGAGAGATAAAGGCATACTGTAAATGAGAAAACTATTCATCATGACCCAAAGTTTGTGATGGGAGTAAATTAACTCATCAAATTTGCATATTGTGGTGTCATTAGGCGGCGGCCATATTGGATTTCATAAATCTCAGTAAAAGAACATTTTGAACATATTTACACAGTACATTTCTTTTGTTTTGTGCTGTTTTTCTCATCTCATCCTCAAAATTAAGGAAGAGGAATCTGATGGGAGTAAATTCGCTCATCTAATTTGCATATTGTGACATTGCTTCTACATACCTACAGCTACAGAAAGCATTCAAACATCAAAACGTTCAGCTCTGTAAGGATTTTTTGATGTTTGTGGCAATGTGTTTGATATTTCTAAATAACTGACAATGGCGACATAAGCTGGAGGCCAAAACGGGCGTGAGTGCGAGGTCCCGCCCAACGCTGCTTGCAGCTTTAATTATTATTATTATTCTTCCTCCAAATGAATTGCCTTTTTGGGAGGCTTAACATACCCGAAAACTCATGAAACTTTGCACACATCTCAGATCTGGTGAAAAAGTTGATATTTTAAGGGTGTCGTGCGTGGGTTCCAAAAAATGGCTCAGTAGCGCCCCCTACAAAACTTTGAGGAAACAGCCCCTGAAGCCAGTTTAACCTACGTGTATGAAACTTGGCAGGCTTATGTAACACCCCAGGACCTACAAAAAAGCCTCTTGGAGGCATGCTGTAAACCCAACAGGAAGTCGGCCATTTTTAATTTACTGTGCGATTTTGATGCATTTTTGGCCATTTCCAGGGGTCATAAATGAACGAACTAGTCCTAGAGATTTCATCCGATTGACTTCAAACCTTGGTCTGTCTCACCCCAAGACCTTAAAGATGAAAAGTTATCAAAAGCTTGAGTTTTCGTCAATGCGTGTGACCGTGGGATGGCGTCAACATTAGGGGTCTCGCCACTAAACAGGAAGTAGTTTATAACTCCAGCATACATGGTCCAATCTTGCCCAAACTTCACAGGATTGATGCCAGTCCCGTCCTGAACACATCTACATCTCAATAATTAGAGATAAACATAGCGCCCCCTACTGGCAACAGGAAATGTCATGTTTTAGACTTTAATGTACATCTCCTACAGAATTGACCACATCCATCTCAAACTTGGTGAAAAAAGTCATAAGACGTTGATGACACTTTATTGTGGAAACTGTGAGTTTTCGTCGAAGAGCGTGGCCATGGTCTGGCGGCGAACTTTGATGTTTCGCCGTGATGATAAACGTTGCTGTAACTTGACTCCACGTGGGAATATCTTGCCAAAACTTCACACATATGATGACAGTCCAGCCCTGAACACATCTACAGAGGAATTTTGAATCACCGCCATAGCGCCACCTAATGGCAACAGAAAGTTACTTTATACATTCTTTGATGTCCCGCTTCTAGCAGGTTAATCAGACCCACCTCAAACTTGCTGGTCTAAGTCCTTAGACCTTGATGATGCTTAAAAATGAAGCTTTTGAGTTTTCATCAAACGGTGTCACTGTGGCGCCGCCTTGTTCACCATCAAACACAATGTTGTTTTGAAGGGACAAGGGATGCTTGAAAACTCACCAAACCTGGCATACACATCATAGGTTGCAAGTCCTGTTGTCTGATGTGATTTTTGTGCTATGATGCACCAAGATGGCTCAACAGCGCCCCCTAGAATATTTCAATTAAGCAGCCCCCAAAGCTGGTTTGACCTGCATGTATGAAACTTGTTAGGCACCTGTAACACTCTATTACGTACAAAAAAGTCTCTTGGAGCCATGCTCCAAACACAACAGGAAGTCCACCATTTTGAAGTTACTTGTGCCACTTTTGTGCCTTTTTGCCCATTTCCAGGGCTTGTAAATTAACGAACTTGTCCTACAGATTTAATCAGATTGGCTCCAAACTTGGTGTATGTAAGTGTGACTATGTTGTGACCAAAAGTTATCACAGGATTTGACCAATATTGAATGGCGTGCCCGCTGCCGAGCGTTGAATCTTGAGGTCTCGCCATGAAAAACGAAATTGCTGTAGCCTTGGCATAAATGGTCCATTCTCCACCAAACTTCACATGATTCATATTAGTCCCGCCCTGAACACATTCTCATTACCATATTTTCTGATAATCATTGTGACACCTAGTGTCGAAAGGAAGTACTTCTTATCAGACACTTATCTTTGGATTCACCTGAAATTTCAGTGCTGTGGTCTATATTTGATGTACACAAACTTGACATATCATTAGTGTCTATGCGTGCTGCAGAGGTTTTTCTTTTGATTTCTCGCTATGAAACAGGAAATTGCTATAAATTTGGAGTAAATGGTCCGTTGTCCACCAAACTTGACATGATTCATATTTGTCCCACCCTGAACACATTTATATGATCATATTTCCTGATACTCATAGTGCTACCTAGTGGTGACAGGAAGTAGGTCTCAAACACTTATCTTTTGATTTATCTGAAAGTTATATGCTGTGTTGTATATTTGATGTACAAAAACATGATGTATTATTTTTGCGCTCTCCAACTCCCTCTAGTGGAAAGATGAAGTGATACAAAATGTGAAATATGTCATTCCAGCACTGTATCAAGGATATGCAAAGTCACTCCTCCTAACTTTGACAGAAATGAATTGACACGTCAGTGAGTTGCGTGAAGGTGCGAGGGCCCGTTCATCGCTACTTGCAGCTTTAATTATTATTATTATTATATTATTATTATTGTTATTGTTATTTATTGCCGATTCTTGTATTTTTGTACTTATTTGCATGCCTAGTTATTTAAGTTTTTTAAGTTTAATTTTGAAATCTTTAATCTGACTCTTTCTCCTTGACTGCTGTAACACTGGAATTTCTCAATTATGGGATCAATAAAGGTGTATCTTACCTTATCTCTTATCTTAAGTACCATAACTGTGGAAACTCTACATGACAAAAGAAAAAGAGCCCTGTTGCTAGGCTCTGAGGACAACAGAGAGCAACTTCTGAGACAGCGGGGCTCACAGTAATAAAATAAGGTCAAATTTTATTTATCCCCAGAGAAACTGCTAAAATGCAAATGACAAAATGATCTACTTGCAAAAATATAAAAAATACATAATCCTCCACCTCTTCTGATCCCCTCTCCTCCGTAAGAATTTTATAAAGTCCTTTAGAAATCATAAGAATCTCAATAAGAACAAGCACTGTGTCGTTAACTAACCTGAACCAGTTAGTGAGGGTCATCATGACATAAAGCGAGGCCAAGAAAAAGACAAAATGGAAGAAGAAGTAGCTGTAGGCCACTCTCTGCGTCTCGTTGTGAATGACCTTCTGACAGCCTTTGTTCTCGTCATCCATCACAAACTCATCCTCACCTGAAAAGGACAAATTTATAAACAAAGCTGAGGCCTGCTTTCAAATTCAAACAGCACTGATTTTATAGTGGTTCAGTTTGGTCAATCTGCACACTGTGTTACCTTGTCATTTTCATTTTCCAGTTCATTTGTTCACAATTTAATTTAGTTTCTGGTTATAAGTAAGGAGCGGATTATTACTTGGCTGTTTAATTGAGTTGTTAAATCTATATTGGTGTTTTATTTTTTGAAACATAATGACACCACATCCTGTTAGGTCATTTCCTGTTCAGTTACTTCCTGTTTACCTAGTCCCGCCAATGAGAAACGTGCTTCATGCTCCTAGAGCAATCCATTGCAGTCCTCTGATACATATCATAGAGGCAATGGTGTAAGTTGATTTTTATGATTTTAGAAATGTTAAAAAGTATATATCAGATGCTATTTGCAAAAAATTAAAATTGAGAAGTTAGTTAAAAACATGTTTATTTACATTTATGTACAATGCAATGTTAAGTTAAAAAAAAGGATACTTAATACTTTTGTATTGTTTTTATTTGCAGTTTTCAACAGTTGTCACTGAAGAACAGTAACAGTAAATGGTCAAACTTATTTCAGACTCTGTCTTTATTGGCACTGATTTACCTTGGTGTTTAGTCAAAGTTTCCATACACCCTGCATGAGAACACTACACACACACACTGCAATGATCAAAGCCAAATGTGGACTTTCACTTAAGTCACAAACCTACAATTTTATCTGTCCATACACACCAGTTCTGATGCTGACTTTAAAAACACAATATTTAAAGTACATTTAAATGTCCATCCGTCTTTTATTACACATTATGTTTGTAGGTGTCAGTTTCTTTTATAATATTTTTTGGAATATACAGTACACATCACATTTATGAAAAAGAATGTGCTACTCCCAAACTCAAACTATCTGATGTCCACTAGATGCTGGCTCAAAGAAATCTCTGTGACCAAAAGCCTTTATTTTTTTCTAACCATGTGCAGCAACTAATTTCCGTTTTTGTAATGCATCTTGGTTATTTTAAAAAATTAGATAAAATGTTGTGTTATTAAAGGTAGCCTTGGTAAATGGACTTCCAACCACTCAAATTGCTTTACACTACATGTGACATTCATGAATACTCTGACATGCAGAGCGGAGGAGCCAAGAATCAAACCACCGATCTTCTGTTGATGGGACAGCCTGCTCTCCTCCTCCTCCTCTGCCAGTTTAAACAAGCAAATGTGGAATTTACTTTAAGTGTTTCTTACTAAAATACAGTGTACATATCCTTAATGTGTATATATTTAAAATCATGAATTGTTTACATGCATCTTTGCCAGCTAGCAGTTTTGCCAGCTGCAAATGTTGTCCGAGTGTTTATTTTTTTTTTTTTTTTTTTTGGACCTAATCACTGCAAACAGTGGCCTTTAGGCACCTACAGAAAGTTACATCACAGTCAATAGGTACATGTCTTTGTCCAGTTAAAGAGTAAACCTTTATGAATTTTTTGATGTCTGTGTTCCTTCTGCTCTTGTTTGTTTGAACTGCAGACAGATTAGATTCAGCACCACTCTTTGCGAAGCAGGCAAGGTACCGGAAAATAAAATGGAAATTAAAACAGACTTAAAATTTCCTTATGCTTTGTGTAACCAACTACCAGCTGAATGCAGAGCTTTGCTGATCCTGGACCTCCTGCTTATCTTCCTTCTATCTTAATATTAGAGAATGTGTGGTTTATTGATGTAAAAACACAATACAAGGCATATTGAAGTGTGATGTCAACTGCATTAGTACAGACCTTCCTCTTCCTCAGGGCAGCAGAAGCAGCAGGTGGCTTTCTGGAACTCTTAACGGTAAACTTTGATCATCCAAAACGGACCAAACACCTCTGCCAGGTAGGAAGCTTCATTACTGAGGGGAAAATGAGATTAGAAAACACAAATAATTCCTCCTTTCAGACATGTAAAAGTACAAGTATTTTTGTCATTGCACCAATTCATGAAAGTGATGTTTCTGTAATATATTTTTAAAGTGCACTGTTATGCTATAATGACATTTTATTCAGTACAGTACTCATTTACATGAACATTGTGTTGAAAGAGAAAGAGTCTAGTCACCATGCAAAGAGGACACAGCAGTACATGATGGCAGCTCCAATTATGGCCACAGCATTGCCTTCTTTCTGGATGCCATCTTGTCCCACACTGGGGTAACAGACGGTCATGTTCATGCCCTGATACACCACTGACATGGAGAACACCACAGCACATTACTTTTCATCACAGTATCATTTTGGTTCATCTCTATCAGTCCATGGAAAACATTTAGTGGCTTTTAGTGTTGCATTCCAAAGTTAAACCAGCAGAACAGATACACAGTCCATATTACTGTGGACCAGATCAGTATGATAATACAAGTTATACTTCAATGACTCTGGAAAAGCTGCAGATTGAATAAGATAGCATGTCACTCTTTACCAAGAAAGAAAACAAGAGCACAAAATCAAGTTCAAAGTGGAGCAGAGCAAATGTGCAGATGAAAGTGATCCACAAAAATATGGACTGAATTGATGCACACATTATTATTATTATGTTTTCTTTAGTGTAAAAACACTTGAAAATAAGAATCATTGTGTTTTCTTTACCTTGGAATTTATATCTACATAGGGAGCTTGTCCTAGCCCAGAACAGAAAAACACTGGCTCTAGATAGGGACATTCATGTTTTCGCGTCAGCCTTTATTATCACTAGATCAGTTTGTTTTGAAGAGGAAGCGACCTCTGCAGATAATTCAGCTTTCGGTAAAAACCTCCTGAACATTTGGATCTTAAGTTATCTTAGAAAAAAGGTGAACATAGATAAGCAGGTGCTAAACTAGTGGCTCAGCTCCAACATGCCAAACAGCACCAAAGAAATGTGAAACTGTTTTATTCAGTGTTTAATCACCTGGTTAGTTTGTTTTGGAGAGGGAGAGACCTCTGCGGATAATTCAGCTCCAGGTAAAAACCTCCTGAATGTCTGGATCTTTAAATATCAGAGAAAAAAAGGCAAGCCCAGATTAGCAGATGCTAGACTAGCAGCTTGTCTCTGACACAAAAAACAGTGTCGGAGAAACATTGATTTGTAATGTGAAACTGCTTTATTCAATGTTTTTACCAGTTCAAATCACTGGGTTGTTTGTTTTGGAGAATATGAGAAAATTCGGCTCACAGTAAAAACCTCCTACACCTCATGGAAATAAGCTGAGCATACATTAAGTTACCGGAGAAAATAGGTGAACACACATTTGCAGGTGCTGGGCAAGTGGGCCACCTGCGATATGCAAAGCAGCATCGGAGAAACACTGATTGGCAAAGTGTAACTGTTTTATTTACTGTTTCTACCGGTTTTAATCACCAGGTCCATTTGTTTTGGAGAGGAATAGAGATCTCTGCAGATGATTCAGCTCATGGTGAAAACCTCTTGAGCATCTGGATCTTAAACTATCAGAAAAAATAGGTGAGCACAGATTAGCACTTGTTAAACAAGTCAAACATGCCAAACACCATTAGAGAAATGCAGAATTTTTAACTACGAAACTGCTTTACTCAGTGTTTTTATCTGTTTTGATCACTTGGTCCATTTGTTCTGGAGAGGAAGAGACATCTGTGGATAATTTGTCTCCTAGTACAAAATCTGAACACTAAATAAACAATAAACACTAAAGGAATTCTAACCGGGAGAAGTGTCAGCTGGTTACAATCTACAATCTTCACCACAAGATGCCACTAAATCCCCCTAATCTAACACACTCGACCTTTAAAGCTTTGAGGTTCTTAAACTAAGAATGAAAGATAAATGTAATTATATTCGATTCATTCGTTGGAGCTCATGGTCAGTATCTTAACCTCTAAGTTACAGCGCCCCCCAGAATACAACATTTATATTGTGAAATCTAAATTTAAGTCTCCTCTAGCAATAATCTTATTTACTGGACCCACATCAGGAACCAAATGTGCAGCTGGTTTTATACATTTCATTCTTTTAATTTGTGTTTTGCTTTTTTTCATAACCAGCAGCACCACAGAGAAAAGGTGCCACGAATGTCACTTTCCTTATTTTCATGTTCTTTCTACTATGTTTCATTTCCTGGGAAATTCCTTTCTTGTAAAACATTGGTTTCAGCTGCACTTTCTCCCTATAGACTCACCCCCTGGACACTTTCTGTGATGAACACAGAGAACTCACAAGTATGTACTGTATGCTCACACATGTGCATGCATGTGCACAAGCTGCAACTCCCCCCCTCCCCCTGACACACACACACAAAAATGTATTCACACAGATATCCAGCCACACCTCCAAAGGGTTATTTCAGCTGGCTGTGGATTCCTGAAAGGTTTTGTGTTTGTGTGTTGTGGGGGGAAAGGAACCTGAACTCCGTGAAAACACAGGCCAATTACAGGACTTGGAGTGTATAATACACACACACACACACACACACACACACACACACACACACACACACAGAACATGTCCTGCACTTTGAGTTGTCTTTGCACTGCAAACTAATTTCTTTCTCTCAGAAACATGAGGATTACTGTGTGTGTCATGGTGAGGTCATAGAGGAGAATAAGTCTTCTGGGGACACACTAGGCAAACAAGGACCAAAGAAGACAGTAATGAGGATAGATACGTGTCCAGCGTGTGCGGGCGCACACATAGACAGGTAAAGAACCCTGAATTAAAGCAGCATACCAACAGTAGATAAATGTTAAATATTACAGAGCAGAAGAGTGTGCTTACTTGTGTTTAGTTAGAGTGTGTGTGTGTGTGTGTGTGTGTGTGTGTGTGTGTGTGTGTGTGTGTGTGTGCATGAGTGTGTGTGTGTGTGTGTGTGTGGTTCACGGTCTGCTGTGGTGAAAAAGTGATTTTATAACAGACTCTGAGTGCATATTTTCTCAACAAGTTGCTACAATGTCCTGTGCTGCTCCGGGACTCAAACATGCACCTACTGCACACACTTGTACAGTACACCTCTGTGGAGAGCAGCATGTTATATAACGTTCAAGATTTTTGTCATATGGAACACTGTTAATTTATCATAATGATCTGTTCTGTATGATATCTATTGCATGTCTGTCCGTCCTGGAAGAGGGATCCCTCCTCAGTTGCTCTTCCTGAGGTTTCTACCATTTTTTCCCCCGTTAAAGGGGTTTTTTGGGGAGTTTTTCCTTATCCGCTGTGAGGGTCCTAAGGACAGAGGGATGTTGTATGCTGTAAAGCCCTGTGAGGCAAATTGTTATTTGTGATATTGAGCTTATAAATAAAGTTGATTGATTGATTGATTGATTGACTTAATAGCCCCAGAATGGACCATTAAAGGAATCCTCCAGCAAAATGTGATTTGACCACAGAACACTCACCACTTGTAAACTTATAAGGTGGCTCAGCAGTAACAGCAACTTTAGTAACTTGGATTCACAGCATTTCTTTTGCATTCCTATCAGTTATATAGTTTGTTGCTGGTTTAAGTCACTTTCAGTGTAAAGGAATTAGTGGCAATTAGTGTGGTTTGCAAACCACACCTGAGGCAGAATCCACATGTTGCATATACAAGGTTTTGCTTAGTATACTTGATGGAATACAGCTTAATCAGGGGTGTCAAATGTACAGCCCGCAGGCCAGAACCGGCTCGTGTGTGAAAATTATAGAGGTCATGAATTCCTTCTTTTTTCAATAAAATGCACTGCTATTCCTTATTTGTCCACTAGGGGTCGAACTTTCCTAATAGAAGTACTAAGCCCTAAACTGGATACCTGTTGTGGATCTGTGAGTCACATGACAACACAGTCAAGTGTTGACATTACATGCAGGAGCCTCCGGTGGAAAATGTCTTGTGGACAGAGTGTGTCAGATTTTCCAAGAAAAATGGACCAGTCCGAATATATTCACAGAGGAAAATGGGAAGCCAGTGTGCTTGGTGTGTTAGTAGCACCTTTCAGTGCTAAAGGAATATAATATTCAATGACACTATCAGACTAATCATAGCAAAAAATACAAGAACTTGCGAGGATAACTGAGAAAAGAGAAGATAAATGAACTGCTGGCAGGTTTTGAGGAAACAGCAGTCTGTTTTTAGTTGTCACGGAGAGATCAGTGATGCAGCTGTAAAAGCTAGCTAACTTATTGCTAATGACATAGCATCGGCATCAAAGCCGTAATCTGAGGGAGAGTTTGTGAAGACATGCATGCTGAAGGCGGCAGAAATCTTATGCCCCAACAAACACCAGGCTTTTGCCAAAATCAGTCCGACAAGAAAACCAGTGGCATAAAGGATTTCAGATCTTTGGACAGATTTGGGAGATTTGGACAGTCAAATTAAGGACAAAGTTATGTCATTTGTTGCATTCTCTGTTGCAGTTGACGAGAGCATGGAAGTTACTGATGTTGCTCAACTGGCCATATTCATTTGTGGTGTTGATGAGAGCTTGACTGTCACCGAGGAGTTCTTTGAGTTAGTGTCGATGACACCACAACAGCGAATTACATTTTTAACTCTTTTGTTGTAGCACTGGACAGGGTCTGGATGGACTGGCCCCGCGCTGTCAGCCTGGCTATGGATGGTGCGCCATCAATGATAAGTAAAAAAGCAGGTGTTGTGACAAAATTCAGAGAGCAAGTACAGGCTGCAAATGGAGGGCACAGTTTATGGACTTTTTACTGTATTTTGCACTAGGAAGCATTGTTTTGCAAGTCATGGAAGTGGTTGTCCGATCTGTTAATTTCCATCAAGCCAGAGGTCTGAACCATTGTCAGTTTGACAGCCTTCTTCCTGATAAACACATTACCCATGGCCTGCCGTACCACAGCGAAGTATGATGGTTAAGCCGAGGAGCCGTGCTGATGCATTTCTTTGATTTACGAGAGGAAATTGGACAATGGAGCGAAAAGGCAAACCAGTGCCTTAACAAAGTTGTCATACTGTATTATGACAGCATATGTGATTTTCAGTTGAAGCTGGCTTTGTGGGGGGGTTTAGCTGTCAAATGTTGACCCTGCTCATCAAGATTGCAGGACTGCTACAGGAGTTTCAGCAGCAGTTTTCTGATCTGCCCATGGACATCCAACTTGAGGTACTTGACTTGCAGTGTGATTCAGATTTGAAGAACAGATAGCCCTGGCTGCAAAGGTTTTGTGCATGTTTGGGATCACTTACCTGTGTGAACAACTTTTCTCTGTGATGAGCATCAATAAAACAAAACTGCATTCCAGGCTCACACACAAGCACTTGACTTACATTCTGAAAGTGGTAACAGCTCACGATTTGACAACATATATTGATGCACTTGTGAAGACTAAGAGATGCCAGATCTCAGGAGCGAGTTCAACAGTGAGTAGCCTGCTTCATGTAAAATGCTGCTTCAGAGGCTTTTCCAGCCTGACCAAAATACAGTGAAAACTTATTGTTGTCATATTTAAAGATATTTAACACTGTGCAAAATGTTGTCAATTTGCAGCTTTAGTTCAAAGAATCTATTAATAAGGTACTACCTTTTGATCTGTAAGGCAGGAGATAACTCAACCTACTTCTTCAACAGCTTCCACTTTAGTTTGGTGTGGTGAAGGGTGCACAAATGTATGTAAAAGTGCACATGAAATGACTGTGAGTAGTGGACTGACTGGATGTAGAAAAACGGAGACACAGTTAAAATTGCACATTTTTTCTTAAGGAATCTCAGGCTGTTCATTATCTGTTTTGTAAATACCATGTTCATTAATTGTTAATGTTTTCAGAATGTTTTTGCACTTATGTTTTGTGCATTTTTAGATCCACTGTGATCTGTAAATTGTAATGCACATGTAGACTAATAGTGAAAAATAGACTGACGAAATGTGGAAAAACTGAGATATATTGTTGAAATTGCAGTTATTTTTCTGAAGACATCTCAGGCTGCTTATCATCTGTTTTGTAAATGGATTGCTCATTAATTGGCCTCTAGTTTCGCAGACCGGGCAAGGCAGAGGTGCAGCGCACTTGCGCTTCGCCAATTGGGTGTGGCCAGGCAGATTTTGCAAGTCTGCAGTTAGCTTGTTTGCTATATTGCGTGAATGCAGCTGTCCCACTGAACATCCCGCTGAGCCCCATTCAAACCTTAAAACTTTATATAAAAAAAAAGGACTTATCAAGTTTTCGTATTGAACAGCCAAATGTGATCCAACTGACATAATTCCGAGTCAGATACAGCCCTAATAATTACGCTACATTATTGATTAGAGTAGAAGACAACTTTTAGTTTGGCATGTGAGTATGCAAATTAGACAGGCAGTCTTTGAACATGACCAAACCCTTTACTCAAAACCAGACCTGTGCTGTGGCTGCATTACAAATAAGTCCATCTTCCGTGACTACATTTGTCTCTTCTCTGTTTTATGATTGTTGATTGTTGTAAAATGGCAGCTATAGACAGCCCAGTCAACAGAAGAAAATGTTGACATTGTACATCTCTGTAAAACATGGATACATTAGATTTGTACATTTCATACATACCATATCAATGTTTCTAAAGTGAAATAACAGCTGCATTTGACATTGTGAGGTGTTGTGACACCCAGGCAAGATGGCTGCCAAGCTGCAGACCACTGCAGAGCAGCATTCGAGGGCAACAAACAATAAATCTCAGTATCTAAACATAACCACATGTGAACCCAGACACTGTTGAAACATAAAGAAATGTGATGTTTCAACACAATCTTACACAATAGCATGCAAATGTTACATATTTGTTGTTTATAGAAACGTAAAATGCCAACATGTATTCTGGAAATTGGGTTGAGAGAGTTGCACTCCTTTTGTCAATCAGTAAGTTGATGACTGTTGATGTTTTACATCACACAAAACTTTTCTGCCATAGAAGGTGGAAATCTGTGCCAATACCAATCTGCTGTACTCCTGGCCAATTCAGGTACAGAAAAAGAAAAATATATCCAACAATATATTACAACTGTGTTTCAATGTGTGTTTTCTATTTAAGCTTTTGACCTGTCTGACCTTTCCCGAGCTGAATAAAACAGACTCTTCACTGGCAGAATTAAACAGTGTATTGTACTTTATCCATTCACCAGGACAGGGCTGTTTGAGAACATATGTAATGACACTGCCAGGGTGTTATCCATGAGGAATGTGAAACAAATATCCTTCAGTCTGCCCTCACCACAGTACACCAGCCCAGCAGACAGTGTATCAGAGCACATCTCATCCCGGATTATCTGTGTGTGTGTGTGTGTGTGTGTGTGTGTGTGTGTGTGCGTGTGTGTGTGTGTATTTGCATGCGTGCCATTAAGATATACAGTAAACCCTGGATAAGACGGAGTCCTCTGACAAACCCCTGCACTAATGTCTCAGTCATATGAAGGCTCTTTGTCTTACCTGGAGCCAACAGGTGAGTCATTATGAGAAAAGAAAAGGAAAATTATAGAGGATTTTAAAATAGGATTGTGTCTAAGTCTAAGTAGGACAGGTTGATGAAGTCAGTGACAAACTAATTCTCAAACATTTCACAGAGAGAGCTGTGGTGAAGAGTCTCAGATTATTTCAAGTCTAGTGCAGTATGCATGTCTACACTGAAAGTAACTGTTTGCCATTTTCATTCCTCCATACTAGCCATAGTCAGAGATGGGGAACAAAATCCACGTCCTTGTCCAGAGCAAAAATGCAAATGGTCAGACAAAGCTAATATGAGGTTTTAGCAGTCTTTTTAGCATTAATGTTGTTCTTTGTGTTATTAGACAGGTAGGCAGGTGATATACAATGATTTTAGCAGAACTTTCCCACTGTCTGCTGAGCCAAGAAATGAAGCTGAAAAGAGTGATGGGGGTGAACCAGAACAGTAGCCTGTAAAACCAAAACAAGGTGCTAAATGTTGCAAAAATGCTGGTGAGCTGAGGGGAGTTAGGTAATAAGGCCCCGTTTATACAACAACGATTTCAACTGAAAACTGTAAACTTTAGTTGTGTTTTGTCTGATCGTTTACACAACAGTGGCGTTTTGGGTGCCTGAAAACGCAACGTTTTGAAAACGGGCTCCAGAGTGCAACTTTTTGGAAACGGCAGCATTTCCGTTGTCCTGTAAACCTGCAATATGCAGTTCCTCTGAAAACGGAGACTTTTCGCACATGCGCATTACAGTTCCAGTCACCAGGCATGCCGACCGACAATGCCAAGCTCTGTTTGTGCTGCGAAGTGAAGTGTAGATCTGTTACTGTAGCAACTCATCCAAACAAACAAACAACATCCAAAGTTATTTGTGCATGCTTTCGCCATTGTGTCTTCTTTGTTTTGGTTTGTAATCAGCGCGTTGTAGAGGAAGGCGCTTCAGCGCAGGCGCATGGCGTCATGCCGTGGTGTTGCTTTGCAAATTTACACTGCCACCCATTTGCCTGGCGTGCATACTACAGCATTTCCAGTAGATTTTGCAGCTCCATGTGTACGGGGATCGTTTCAATAACGTCATCATATAATCGCAAAAGTTTTTTAAAACGCAAAGGACAGACTTTTCCGTTTTTAGAGAAACCGTCGTCTAAACAGGGACTAATTCTCTGTGGGGGGAAAATGGGGGTTATTAATAACAACATTTCAGCACAAAGAGGATGCAAAGTGCGATGGACTGCACGTTCTTCCTTTCCCTGTCCCATGTTTCTTGTTTAATTGACATATAAAAAATAACCTTGAAAATTTGAGTTCATGTTAGAGGTTTGTGTGTCAATGTTCTGTGTGCCAGTGGAGCTGCAGAGATCTGTTACTGTGCTTCTGCTCTGTCTGGTAAGTTAGCGTACCTTTCTCTGGCGGGCGGCTGGACAGCGCAGAGAAAGTGAGGTACATGACATAACAGCTGATGATGGAGGCCTGAAGGAGGCCCGACCGGGGCTGCTCTGCAGAGACACAAAGAGGGAGAGAGTCAGAATACATACTGAAATGTATCACACTTACTATAACCCCAAAACACATGCATATACTCAGTGGAAAAAGTAAAACTTCTGATAATGAAAAGAATTTGGAAAAAAGTGTTCCTCTCAAAGAGTTAGATTTTCAAGTGAAATATTTACATTTTAAATAGGGTAGGCTTATTTTTGGTTTAGCTATTTAAATGAAAATTCAGGAATTTATCTGTTTATTTTGTTAAAACATCAGGATAAAAGAATCTTACTTTCATTACAGTTTGGTAAAAAAAAAAAAACAACCTAAAAATAATAAGCTTTAATCATTTATTCATGAAAAAAATATCTCAATTAATTTGGATATATACATATTTTACCTCTACAGGGTTGAAACCTGATATCTAATCTTGGACATGTTTTATATTTTCATATAATCTACTTTCTCTGTTGCTGTTTCCAAGGTTGACAATGAACTCTGAACAGCAAATGTACATAATTTTTAAAGTTAATTGTGTGATCAAGCAGAAACAATGCTGATTTTTCCTTTCTTTTTGAGTTCTGAAAAAGTTTCCATGTGCAGATACAACCCTGATTAAAAAAAAAGTTAGGACGCTGTTTAACATGTAAATAAAAACAGAATGCAATGATTTACAAATCCTGTTCAACCTTTATTGAACTGAATACAGTCCATAGACAAGATATTTAATGTTCAAACTAATAACCTTTATTGTTTTTGTAAATATACACTCATTCTAATTGAATTAGATATCTTCCTGGAATAAGCAGGAACGTCCCTGAAAAAGGCATTGTCTGGATGGCTGCATATGTTGCTCCAAAACCTGTATGTACCTTTCAGCGTTCATAGTGCCTTCACAGATGTGCAAGTTACCCATGATGCCATAGGTATACGTATATACAATATATACATATACATATATATACAATA